CAACTTATATTCTACTTTAAGAATGTGAGAAAACGAGTTATGTTAATGTATCAGCTTTTTTCTGCTTGGATGGGATAATCGATTTTGACCTCGAAGTTTCAAATTATCTTCTTTTATTTTATTTTCTACAAAAGGCTCTATGTTTATACCATTTTTTTTTTTCATGTTTATTATTCTCCGGACATAATTCCACTTTCAGCTTCTCTATTGGTTAATTTTAATTTGGAGACAATATGAATATATCAATATTAAAATGCAAATATCAGTAATTTCCATTATTCCCAATTCATCTCACCACTGTATCTTATCTTTAATTATTCCAAATTTTTTTTTTTTTTTTCTTCATTATGTGACTGGAACTCTTTCTTTGTTTCTCTTCTGATGTCTTCCCAAGCCTCGCCTCTGTAATTCAAATATCAATAAAGTTCATTATTCCCAATTCACCCTTCGGTGTCACAACATTCACACACCAGATTCGTTCTTCTCCATTTTTGGAATGACTTCACCTTTATCAACGTATCCTTCATTATGAATTCCACTCAAATCCTGCTGCTTCTGTGAGAAGAACATTTAATTTATTCCAAACGAAGATAATAACGGAACGGTTATCTCGTATGAATGACACATAGGCTGCAGCACGGTTTTATTAAACTCTTACAATTCTCGTAGCTTGCCAAAAAGACAGAGATACATACATCAAATTCGAAGAATTTCAATCAGGTTTATATATAATAAAGGCTGCATAATCGCATTCGCATGATCCTTAGACTTCAAAATAATTAAACTTGGAATAGAGTAACATTGGGCTTCAAAGAGACGGGTCGTGATGATTATGCTGTTTTTCGAGAAACAAAAAAACTTTTTCTGGAACATCATTATACGGCTTTTATTAAATATTCAAATGAAGCGTTCTGTCTTAGAATGTACGCAACATAAATAAGGGGTGGGAGGAAATTTATGGAGGATTGAAATAAAACCTTTTTTTTTCGGACTTTTCTCAAAAATGAAACAATCATTCATCCGGAAAGTTAAATCAAATGCAAGCATTTTTCTCAAGCTTGACAAGCCTACCATCCATCCTTGCTTTGAATATTGCTGCCACATCTGACCTGCTACTTCTATATATTTAAAGATTCTCAATAAATTCCAACGAAGAATCTAAATGTTTATAGTCCTGACCTGGCATCTCGTCCCTGTCCTCACTCTCAAACGTAGCTTCCCTGTACCTTTTCTATAAATACTTTTCATGGTAATTTTTTGGCGGATTATTTGCACTTATATTTGAAATTACGAATGATAAATACGCATTTGTATAATTTTATGCAGTTTTTACTTTTTTTAACCTGTAGACAAAATATCGGATGTAAAATGTCAATAAAGAACCAAGACCAAACAACAATCAAGTATCTATAGTTTCTGTTTCCCAAGACGGATGATAGTGGCTGTCTTGCTCTGTATCCATGCTGAAAGGGGGCACTAAACAATCCCTTTTTTTATTTCATGTTTAGAGGGCAACAAAAGGAATTTTTTTATACTGCAACCAGGCTGAGCGGAAGTATCAAACTTTTCGCCATTGCTTTTTCAATTTTTGCATATGGCTGTCATGTGAAATTTCTGAATTCAGTTGTCAGCCCAGAACAAACTTACTAAACAAATGGAACATAGCCTGCAAATTACTGCAAACAAGGTGATTGACGAAAACTTCCAAAAAAACATGGAACCTAGATCAAGAGCCTTAAATAGTAAGCACCAAATTAAACCATCTATTTAATATATTATCTCAGAAGATAAAAAATCAAATGAACTGGTCAGGAAAGGAGATCCTTGGGAAATTGTGCAAACAACTAGGATTTAAAGATGCCAACCAATAGCATACTCAAAAATCAATAACTGATTTGCAACTGATTCTAGAATTGTTTTTTTCTGCATTTTCTCTTTTGTATTAAGGATAAGTAACCCGGGTTCTATGATCACCTTAGTCGATTTGTCAAGATCACTTCATCATAATATCTGCCTGGGAAGAAATGTCCCAGCACTGTTAGCACCAATGTTAACCATGGTTGACTAAACCTTCTGAGTGAAACTGGAAAAATAAACTCTTGATTAATTTTTCGATATTTTCCTCATTCATAAGTCATCGTGGAAGGAGATTCTGTCCTCGTTCAATTACTACACTCACATAAACTGTAACTAAAGTCTGTTCAGTGTAGTTTGAATATAAACCACAAGTTGGCTCTATGGAAACATAAATATGACTGAACAAACCTCTGCACCATGGATTAGCTAGCTCCGATAACAGACGGGCATACTCGATAACAAGCAGTTATCTTTTATTGACATCCATTATTATAAAATAATCAACCACATGACAAATTGAAAACTCATTATAAATATTGTAAAATTATTGTTCGCGATATAACTTTTGCGGTCAAGGTTATGTTTTTTTTGAATGTCGTTTGTTAAAAAACTAAAAAAATATTATATTCTCTCTTTTGAAATCTATAGAGCACTTCGAACAGAACAGTGGTTCATTGCTTGTTTTGAGAAGCATTCAAAAGGCATTCTATTCTCATCGTGGACTCAAATTATTTTTAAAAAATGACTATCCATCAAATAGATAAAAGAGCTCTCTGCATAATACAATCATTAATGTATTAATCTCGAAAACCATTAAGGCTTTCTTCTAGAAATGCAGTTTTTTTACTAAACGTTGCGTCATTCAATAAAAGGACTTTAAAATTATCACTTAAATAATATTTTGTAGGATATTAAGGATATAAGATTTTCCAGTAACTCTTTTTAGAAATAATTTGATATATTCGGGGTTCCATGTTTTTGCTTTGTTTTTGAAGTAAATTCTAATATATTTTTAAATGTAAAATTAAATTAGAAACTTGTTTAAATTTAAAAAAAAAAACAGTCAGAATACTAAAAGCGCGCAAAAGATCAACTGTCTGGCTTTGAAATAAACTTTCTAATAATAATTCAACAATATCTATGTTCAAATATATTGGATAATATATATTTCCCACATTTTTTGAAATATTAATTAAATGACTTAACTAGTACTGCGAGTTAAACCCACTTTAGAATATCTTAATAATAATATGTACATGTAATATTAGATATTCTTGAGGTGTGAGCAAAAATACTATGATTTTTCTAATATAAACTGTTTAAAAGCAACTGTTAATCTTGGACAGAAAAAATATTTAAAGTATTCCAATAGGATAATTACTTTCCTTTTACAAATGACATAGGAGATTTAAAGTTGAATAACATTCATTTTAAACACGTAAATATTTTCTCTGCTTGTTTTCGGAAACTTGGTTACCGGCAGGGCATTTAAAATTCGGTCTCTATAACAAAATTATTTAACAAGTAATTTATTCAAACATTACACAATTTTTTAAATAAAATCAGCAATTAACTTCATCAATTGTAATGTTATTTTTTTCAAGAATGATGCAAAGTTCAAGAAATTATCAACTGAAAAATTTTAGGGCCGATTACCTTTCACGTGATAATTGGTGGCTCTGAGAATAAGAATGTGTTTGGAACTGATTTTTCCATAGAACATGAAAAGAAATCATTTTAATAATTATTGAAAATCTAATACGTTTTTCAGTCTTTGCATAAACTGCAGGTGTGGACGAAAACAATTTTCTAAATAAAAGGAAAACATGTTTAACCTTTAACCTCGGACATCAACTTGAGATTAGAAGTCATCGTGGAGTTGAACTTTTCTGGCTAATCTAATATATTTTAATGTGATTATTGTTTATTTTGCTTTTTCGTTTCGTTTTTTCTTTTCTTTAAATTCAACTTTTCATCTCACTTATTCTAATTTATGTTCTTTTTCTCTCTCACTTGAGTCTTTTTTTCTTTCTTTTTATCCTGTCCCTCAATCGTTTTTTTTTTCTCTCTATCAATCTTTCTCTTTTTACGTCTATTTTTTTTTTCTATTTACTCTTTTCTATTTTTAGTTTTCATTTATATCTCCCCTTCTGTCTCTTTGTTTCTCTTTTTCTGTTGGTCAACAAAATGTCTGAATGTACACGTACGATTTCATAATTCACTTCCATAAAAGAATATCATCTTCAAAATTGCTCACAATTTAAAAGAAAACATGAATAATTAATAATTATTCAACATTTTTTTATCATTTCAAGCAAGGCAATAAAGCTACTAAGACGCAAGGGATTACTGAGTGGAAAAGAATATGAAAAAATATACTATTGAGGAGAGAGAGTGAAATAAAAGAACAAGAATTAAGACAGAATATAACGATTGACATTGCATTTAAATTTTTGTTGATCAAAGTTGACTGGGAAGCAAGGAACCGGAAGAGAGTTCCACAAACGAGAAGTGCGATAGATAAAATTTTTATCGTAGAACCTACGATAATAAATAGTAATTTCAACTATAAAATGATATTGCCTTGCCTTCCAATCTATATTTCCAGAGAACCCACAATTTCAAAAGCAGCATTCTGAATTTTAGACAATGAAATCATATTAGTTATCTGCGAAGAGGAATTACCATTATGTGCCTTATTCACATTCTAACAAATCTCAACAAAAGTTGTTATTATTATTATACTGATTCGTACGTCTGTCAGGGATTTAGAACTAAACCATTTATTTAATCGACGGCAATAGATTATTCTAGCTTTGTGATGGATAACAGGAACGCCAGACGTAAAAACAAAAAAAAAACAGGAGGACACGTCGACCGAAATGTTGCAAAAATTACAACAAAGATCGGGGCAATAAACATTCTAATTGGTCAAACATCTTGGTTTTGGCAACTTGGTGCCATTTTAACGAGGAATTAACTTTCAGATTTTATAGCCAAGCCTTCTCTTCCCCTGGGATTTAAGTTCTGGTGGGGAATTCGAACAGAAAAAAAAAAAAAAATATATATATATATATATATATATATATATATATATATATATATTGATAGATAGATAGATAGATAGATAGATATGAACAGACTGAGATAGATAGATAGATAGATAGATAGATAGATAGATAGATAGATAGATAGATAGATAGATATAGAGGCACGGTGGAGTCGAGTTCGAATTCCAGTCGAATCCATTACATACGTGCTAATACCCTTGGGAAAGATGTGAATAAATAGAAGAACAGACTGGGTTCTATAGCCTTGGATGGCAACTGGTCTAGAAGAAGGACAACTCTGAATTCAAAACCTGCGGAGGGTCGTGTGGGGACCCTGTGGCACGTAGTGCACCAGGTCTCTGTATTCAGCGCTTCAAAATGTGTGGATGGTGCTGCACAAAACCTTCACCACTATAATCAAATCTCATATGCTGTTGTCGAGCTGTCGGTTTCCTGGGAACTGATCTGCTAGAACCTCATATCGAATTCGACGGAGAGTCGAGATCTATATATATATATATATATATATATATATATATATATATATATATAAAATATTTATACATACATACATACATATATATATATATATATATATATATATATATATATATATATATATATATATATATATTAGATTTGCTAAGGAATGGCGATTAACATTTCTGGAGGATAGATCTTAGATCCATGAAAATTCTGTAATGAACAAGCCACCCATGAAGTTTATTGTCTATGAAAGGCGAATAATTCAGCAGCACACCTTGAAGACCCACGGGTAGTTTTATAAATGCCAGGTCTTGAATTATTATCACCCAAAGACAGTTGGATTTGAAAAAGACTCCTGTTATCGAATATTCTATTTCTTTCAAAAGTAATATGTTTAATGTTTATCAAAGATAATAGGTCTGACTGTTATTATGAAGAGCATATTATGAATGTGACGAAGAAATGAAGATAGAACTAATGATACCAATAAATAGAAATAAACATGATAGATAGATAGATAGATAGATAGATAGATATAGATAGATCTGAATAGAGATAGATAGATATATAGATAGATAGATAGATAGATAGATAGATAGATAGATAGATAGATAGATAGATAGATGGAAAGTGAGGTACTTATATATATATTAAAAAGTGAGATAGATTTAAGAAACTGAGTTATATATATATAGAGATAGATAGATAGATAGATAGATAGATAGATAGATAGATAGATAGTTTTAAGAAAGTGAGGTAGAGATAGATAGATAGATAGATAGATAGATAGATAGATAGATAGATAGATAGATATTAAGAAATTGAGATAGATAGATAGATAGATAGATATATAGATAGATAGATAGATGGAAATTTATATATATTAAAATAGATTTAGAAACTAGTTATATATATATATATATAAATAGATAGATAGATAGATAGATAGATATTAGATAATAGATGATAGATAGATAAATAAAAAGATAGATTGACGAAGAAGGTGATGTAGATAAATTTATATATGTTAAAATAGATAGATAGATAGATAGATAGATAGATAGATAGATAGATAGATAGATATTAAGAAAATGAGATAGATAAATAGATAGCAAGAATGTGAGATAGAGAAGTAGAGATATATTAAGAAAATTTGATAGAAAGAAAGACAGAACGTGAGAGAGAGAGAGGGGTATAAAGAAAGAGTCGAAATGGTGACTCACTGAGTTGAGAGCGGTACACATTACACAGTTACTGACCAGAGATTGATAGATAGGAGACATTCGATGTGGTACAATGGCTAGTAATCTTGTCTCGCTGGATCAATTGAATAGTGAGTTTGATCCGCACTGGTTGTTCAACCATTTCGACCTTGTCCCGTATATAAGTTATGCTGACAAAATTATTTGGACACTTCGACGTATTGTAATGGTTATCACGCTTGTCTCCCTAGATCAGATTAGTGAGTTCGATCCTCACTTTGTGCCCCATACTTTCGGCCTTGTACCACATTTAAGTTACACTTACAAAATCACCATAGATAGATAGATATATAGATTTAAGGGTTACCAGAGTGAGCTAATGTAATGTTTATTGTCGGAAGAATATATTACGCCAAGCTCCTTGGAGTAAGTTTGAAAACCGGCATTTGAATCTACGACCTTTTTCTAAACTCGAATATCGACTACTAGCGCCAATGAAAAGATCTTGATCCGTTCAGCTCTGACACCGCTTGATAAAACCTACGCAGAGATCAATGGTTAATATTGACATCGATCAACTAAGAAATTTGTTGGCTTGTCGATTTTACAAGTCACCCCTTTTGGGGTTATTGAATGTCGAATTTTGTATAGAGCATTGTGTGAATATTGAACTCACTACACAGTGGGAATGGTCAGCCAGGATATTAGCACGAAAGTGAATGTAATGGATCCGACTGGAATTCGAACCCGATTCCTCAATCCGAGCCGCTATCCTTTTTTCCTCCGTGCATCCTTTTTGTCAGTATGTCTATGCTTTTTAAAAAATGTATATTACCTTATATCACAATATCACAATATCAAAATAGCCAGTACAACGTAACATTTTTTTCAGATTTTAGGCATACTCAATAGCAAAAGAAGCATCCCAAAAGCTAAGAAAGGTACTGAGAAATTGATTTTTTTTTAATAGAAACAAGGAAAAGAGTTCTGGGTTGTTATGTGTTACCAATCCTCTTAGATGGTAGTATTGTGTCGGAAACCTACCACCCCTCTTGAAGATAAACTTGTCTGCGTCTGTGAACAAAGACTTTAAATAGTGGCATGTCAGTTGACATGAAAGAGAGATAGACAGAGACGTTCTTAGCTGAACTAGTTATTGACTACTCAGGCGATTTCTGTACCTTTTTACCAACCTATTAAAACCCTTTTTATTGTTTCGTGTTATTTGGCGTTTGTCTCTACTAACCCCAAATCAACATCATAACAGGTAGTGAAGAATGAACAATTTCCTAACGCAAGAAGAAAAAACTAGAGCCAGAAGAAATGGGGTTCTACAGAGTGATACTGAACATTTCATGGACGGAGCCAGTAAGCAACAAGGAAGTGTTAAAGATAATGGTAACAGAAAAAAAAAACAAAGAAAAAATACTCAGAGTCAGGAAAAGTCGTCTGAAATTTCTTAGACACAAAAGAAAAGATGGCTTGGAAAGCTTAACAGGCGCGAATCATATTGAGGGCAAGAAAAACGGGCGAAGATTATGAGCCACGTGCATGTGTGAACGAATGGCGAAACAGTGGACTTAGCAAAGTAAAATACCTTTTTAAGAGACACACATGATCGCCTATGTCATGAAGTGACGTGGTAAATATCTAAAAGAAATAAACTGATGAGATAAGAATAACAACGAATCTTTGTGCATTGCTCTACAAATTATTGTCATTCTTGTTGCTATCATCAACATTCGACCAATATATTCGCCTTTTTCTTTTTCTCTTTATATTCCTTCTACATCTTGGTGCCAAAGATATTAAGAAAAATATTCCAACCTAATTGCGATTATAATAAAGCATAAAAAAACAACACAACAAATCTAGTCTCTCGGGAACACAATAAAAATGATGACAACTTACAAATGTTATTTATATATAATATATCCGCGTGATAATTCTCTTCGTATTTTGAGTGAGTAATAAAATGAAAATTAATTCAGAAACAAGCTTTCTGATATTAAAATAAATATTATGTAAAATAAATAGACTGTAGTTTCTCGACAGACAATCAGGTGTAAAAACGCTTATATTCACATCATATCTATCTATCTATCTATCTATATCTATCTATATATATATATATATATATATATATATATATATATATATATATATATATATACAGTGAGGGGAACAAATATCCGTACGTATACAAATTTTTAATTTATTGTATTTTCAAATAATGAATAAACATACTTTTCACATAATTAACTATACACAGATGCATAATAACTAAATACGCATAGAAAACAGAAAAAATAGAAATAAATTCCATTTATTCATTTTAATGGGTGGAAAAAGTATTCGTACAATACATAAAAGAATACATAATCTTCATTTAATACTTTGTAGAATAGCCATTATTCACTTCCACAGCAATCAACCTCTTCTTGTAGTTCTCAAGTAATTGTTTACAAATTTTAGTTGGTATTTTGTTCCATTCCTCTTCGCATATGGTATTCAGATCCGGGATGTTTGTTGGATCTCTCGATTGGATTTAAACGCGGGGACTGATTTAGCCATTTCAAAATATTTACATTATTTTTAGAAAGACATTTCTTCATAGATTTAGCAGCGTGCTTAGGATCATTATCTTATGAGAAAATCCAATCATTATATTTGCTTTCAAAATATCTTGATATGCTGCGGAATTCATTCTACCATCTATTGCTGATATGTTGCCAGTACCTTTTTCAGAAAAACATCCCCAAACCTTAATATTGCCATTACCAAATTTCACTGTTGGAACTGTGTTCTTTTGTTTGAAAACATCGACATCTTCCCTCCATACATGATTTCTAGAATTATTCCAAACAACTCAATTTTGGTTTCGTCTGTCCATAATACACTTTCCCAATACGATTTTTCCTTATCCTTATGTTCACAAACGAATTTCCACCGGCCATCTCTGTGTCCTTTCAATTTCCGAGGGGAGCGTGACTTTAGATTCTTCCAATGAATTTCATTGCTTATTGTCCGTTTAATGACATATTCCTGATGAAAGCAAATCACTTTTAAACTATTCATGAGTAACCATTAAATTTTGTTTAATTTGACGCATTAATTTCCTCAAAGATCTTGAAGAAATCTTCTGTAGAGCACCTGTTCTTCTTTGGTTTTCAACAGTTTTGAGTTTTTTTATACCTTGCAATGAATTAACAAATGACAGTAAATGGAATATTCGGGTTGTCTTAGATTTTTCTGTAACTTTTATCTTCTTTCCAGAGCTTAACACTCAGTTCTTTTTGCGAATTTGTCAATTCTTTACCGCTTGTCAGGATGATAAACTTCTTGCACGAATATCAATTACAGAATGTTTAGTTTGTATTTTTAAGCTGAAAATAACTACTGATAACATTATTGTAACATTCTAGAATTTTGATTGATCAGGAATACAATTACTTAATGGGCATTTGAAATCATAAATACTATTGCCCTAATTAATTTTGTTCTAAGGGGCGCATTATCATTTTTAACTATACGTTTAGCGGTTTAAAATTTTTTGTAATAAATAATTAATCTATTTGTTTTTTTATTTGTTTTTTTTTTGCTATTGTTAACTGGTGTTGTGCATTTTTATAATGTTCTTATTTCTACTTTCGTCTCGTTTATAATTTTCATTCATTTGATTTTTATAAAAAATATTAATGTTACTTTTTATATTTCAAAATTCGTCAATAATTATATAGGCCATACTGCAATATATTTGACACAAAGACCCACTATATACATTTCCAATCATAGCTCAATTAGATCTCATTTAAATATTCATGGAGACCTACCGGACAGTATTCGTGACGTACTTGTTGACAACACAAATATAATATCATCATCTACATGCAAAAAAATGCTGTTAATAAAAACAAAAAAACAACACTCTCTAATATAAACTATGAACATGGACACACTATCTTGACCGTGTTTTGAAAAATGAAAACATTATATAAATACATATATGCAACAAACTATTTCTTATTTAACAGTTACAATATTTCATCCTTGAAAATGTATAAATGTATAGCCGAAAGCGCGCGAAATAAAAGAACATTCGGTCAGTTTTTTATATAATTTATCATCTGAAAAGAAAACAAATATTACATCACATGAGAAATTGTTTAAAAACTGAATCAAAGCACCTTATCTGTCGTATTCAATGAAATATATATATATATATGTATGTGTGTGTGTGTGTGTGTGTGTGTGTGTGTGTGTGTGTGTGTGTGTGTGTGTGTGTGTGTCTTCCGCTGATATAAAGTGAAAAGATTATATTGAATCAATTACTAGGTTTGCTGTTAGGAAAGTTGGTTTTCTATGTGTTGCTAGACAATCTTTCTCGTCAGAATCTACTTTACATATTTATAAGTCTACAATTCGTCCTTTCTTTGAATATTTCTGTCACATTTGGTCTGGTGCTTCTGCTATGTATTTACCGATTCTAAATGAAATACAAAGAATAACTTGCAATGTTACAGGTCCTAACCTGTCATCTCGGCTCTCCTGAGCTTTTCTATAGATATTTTCATAGCAAATGTTCTGATTAGCTTCGCTTTTTGGCATCGATGCATTATGAATTCGTTCTCATTACTAGATTGGCGGCAAGGTCTCATCATTTTACAGTTGAAATGGTTAGATGTAACCGTAAGTTCTAACTTTGATCTTCCAAATCCAAATGCAATGTCAATCGTATATCGCCTGTTTTCTTAATATCTGTTCATTCGTGTGTCTTAGTGGCTTTATTGCCTTGCTTGAGGTAAAAATATTAATATGTGTGTGGGATACTGTAGCGATTATACTGGTTTTCTTAGTAGTTTTGCAATGTAATATTTGACTTACACCATTTCTTAAGTATCCACATCCTGGGTAAAACGATAAACTATATCCGACAGCAAGGTCTTTGATCAGGGGTTTTGTGGAATCAACTCTTAGTTTCTGATGTTTCCAGGTCCGCCCTGACCTGGAGTGGTAGCACCTGTCAGGGTCCCAGCTATGGG